CTAAGCACGCGGTATGGGCCGTGAAACGAGAGAGAAGTTTTTCTGAAAGGCCTGTATGTCGCGTAGGGGACCAAAGAAGAACGAGGGAACCTGTTGGAAAGTGTTCGTCGCGATGCTGCTCGTCGTAACGATGCTTCTGCGAGTCTTGGGACGCCATTAATCTGCTGCGGGCAAGCTGACGAGCGTGGTCAGCTCGGGTAATAGCGTCGCGTGCATATTCAGAAGTAGACTGCGCAGCGGCTGGCAGAAAGGTATCCAACGGCAATGTTGGTTTGCGTCCAAACAGAAGGTAAAATGGCGAGTAGCCGGCAGTGTCATGCCGGGAGGAATTGTATGCGAACGTCACGTAGGGTAGTGCAAAGTCCCAATCACGATGGTCGGCCGAGACGTATTTCGATAGCATGTCTATCAGGGTGCGGTTTAAACGTTCTGTAAGCCTGTTTGTCTGGGGGTGGTACGATGTCGTGAGCTTATGTTGGGTAGAGCAGGAACGCAGGATATCGTCAACCACTTTCGAAAGGAACGTATGGCCTTGGTCTGTCAGCAGTTGACAAGGGGCTCCATGCACTAAAATGAGATCGCGTAGTAGAAAATCAGCGACGTCTGTAGCACAGCTTGTTGGCATGGCTCGCGTAACTGCATAAGGGGTCGCGTAATCCATAGCCACCGTGACCCGCTTGTTTCCGGAGGCGGATGTTGGGAAGGGACCGAGAAGGTCCAAACCAACACGGAAGAATGGCTCCGATGGGATGTCGATGGGCTGAAGATATCCGGAAGGGAGTCCCGACGGCTTTTTGCGCCGCTGGCAAATTTCACAAGCGTTGACATAGCGACGTACAGAGCGTGAAAGGCGAGGCCAGTAAAAGCGGCGGCGGACACGATCATATGTGCGAGAGAGACCAAGGTGACCCGCGGTTGGCGCGTCATGGAGCTCGCGTAGGACTGTGGAATGCAGGTGCTTTGGTATGACCAGAAGTAGGTCGTGACCATTGGGCGATAAATTACGCCGATATAAGGTGTGGTCCTTTGAGGTAAACATGCGAACAAAAGCGTCTTGCGGTGAAGATTCGAGCTGTTGTATTAGGCGGCTGATATCCGGATCGCGACGCTGCTCGTCCCCGAGATGAAGCAGCTGGGAGATGGAAATGACGCAGCCCACAGAATCAGTGCTCGTAGGATCGCAGTCGGCCACAGGGTAGCGTGACAGACAATCCACATCTTTGTGCAGTTTTCCTGATTTGTACACTACGGTGTAAGAATACTCCTGGAGGCGGAGTGCCCAGCTTGGCGAGACGACCTGTGGGATCTTTGAGGGAGGCGAGCCAGCAGAGAGCGTGGTGGTCGGTGAGAACTATAAATGGTCGGCCGTATAAGTAAGGGCGAAATTTCGCGACTGCCCACACCAGCGCTAGGCATTCGCACACTGTGATGGAATAATTACGCTCTGAGGTGGACAGCAGCCTGCTGGCATAAGCTATCACGCGATGCTGCCTACGTTGTTGCTGAGCCAACATAGCGCTTATTCCGTAATCGCTGGCATCGTTGCGCACTTCGGTCGGTGCCGTAGGGTCGAAGTGAGCAAAGTGGTCAGGTCGGAAAAGGCTGCTGCTTGCGAGAGACCCCAGGTAAACGTCTCATCTGTTTTGAGTAAATCTGTTAGGGGCCGAGCGATTTCCGCGAAGTTCTTGATGAACCGCCGAAAATAGGAGCAGAGCCCCACAAAGCCGCGGACATCTTTGGCGGTTTTTGGCACAGGAAAGTCCTTCATAGCTCGAACTTTTTCTGGGTCAGGCTGTACGCCGTAAGCGTCAACAATATGTCCAAGTATTGTAATGCGACAGCGACCATACCGGCACTTGGATGAATTCAGCTGAAGGCCGGCGAGACGGAATATATCAAGAATTTTTGACAGTCTCTCAAGGTGCGCTTCAAAAGTGAGAGCAAACACAATCACATCATCCAGATAACAAAGACACGTAGACCACTTGAATCCATGGAGCAGGGAGTCCATCATTCGTTCAAAGGTGGCGGGGGCATTACATAAGCCGAAAGGCATGACTTTGAATTGGTAGAGGCCATCGGGTGTTACAAAAGCCGTCTTCTCTCGGTCCATGGGGTCCACGGCAATCTGCCAATAACCAGAACGAAGATCGATGGAAGAAAAGTAGGCGGCACCATGGAGGCAATCAAGGGCGTCGTCAATGCGGGGCAGAGGGTATGCGTCTTTCTTGGTGATGTTGTTAAGGTGGCGATAGTCCACACAAAATCGCCACGATCCGTCCTTCTTTTTAACTAATACCACCGGGAATGCCCAGGGACTGGAGGATGGTTCAATAATGTCCTTCGCTAGCATCTTGTTCACCTCCTTCTAAATTATGCTCCGCTCAAAAGCAGACACTCTGTAGGGACGGCGGTGAACAGGGTTGGCATCACCTGTGTGTATGCAATGCTGGACAAAGGACGTCTACCCAAGAGGTCGGTCACCAAAATCGAAAATATCCTGGTAGGCCTCGAGAAGATGTTGTAGGGCTTCAACTTGCGGAGGCGGAAGATTAGTGACGATCATGTCTACAATTTGACGGCTGCCCAAATGTTTTGCGAGTGATGTGCGTTGCGGTGAAACAAGTGTGTCTAAGGCAAGCACTTCAATTTGTGAATCGAGCAACGGACACAGGCGGGCCACAGAAATGCCTTGTGGAAGCACATGATTCATGTAGCCGAAATTGAGAAGAGGTAGACAAGTTTTGTTATCTGTGATGCTGAGCACTGTATAGGGCACTGCAACATTGTGCGCAAGGAGTACGTCGGTGAGAGGCGTAGCGTAATAGTCACCGTCGGGCACAGCTGGTGAGCACAGAAAATCGACGTACGTCACAGTTTTGGAGGGCAGGCGAACAAAGTTCCTGCATTGTAATCGGCATGTAGGTTGGTACGGGGCGGCACTGATTTGTGGCAGTTCAAGGCGGAGCACACTAGTGGAGCAATCAATCAGAGCAGAATTGGCGGCAAGAAAATCGAGGCCTAGTATGAGGTCGTGGGGACATGTTGCAAGCACGGTAAAAAGGACGACCACTTGATGACCGGCTACGGTGAGTTGAGCTGTGCACATACTTACGACAGGGACTGTTGCACCGTCTGCAACTTGGACGACACTGTTCAAGGGGGGCGTGAGGACCTTCTTCATGCGACGACGAAAACACAAACTCATAATACAGATGTGAGCGCCCGTATCTATCAAAGCTTCAACAGGTGTGCCATCAACATATACTTCTAGGGTGTTCCGGTTCAAACGTAAGGGCAACAGAGGATTTTTGGGTAAGGTCGACAGGGCAGCTTCACCTCCAGAAGCTGCGCAGCCTAGTTTTCCGGGGACATGCGGCGGTTGAACAATGGCGAGGGAGAGCGGCGACGCGTATTTGAACGAGAAGGGGGGCTTTGAGGTGGTGGCGACGACGGGACAGGGTGGCCGTAGTCCTCAGGGGCAGTAAATGCTGTAGACTCAGTGCGGGTCGTATAACGGTGGTTTGGTGGACGGAATGAGTTACTGTAAGCGGGGTACGAGAGAGAAGACATAGATGGCCATTGGCTGCGGCAGTAACGAGCGATGTGTCCTGCGCGACCACAGCGGAAGCAGATTGGCTTATCATCAGCTGTTCGCCATTCAGACGGGTTTCTGGTTCGAATAGAGTACCGACGGCGACGTCTCATGTCCACAGAAGCTATCGAGGGACCAGTATTATCCAGTGTGGGTACAGTGGACAGGATACCAAGGTTAGCGAATTCCTGGCGGACAACAGCCTGGATCAAGGCGACAGCTGGCGTTGAGGCGTCGAGCAACGTCGGTTTGTTGGCAGCCGGGTAAGCGGCCTCGAGTTCACGTCGGACGATGCGCGTCACGTCTTCGGTTGTAGACGGATGACAAGGAGTGGCTTCGCAAGACGACGTTGCCGCGGTGTTGGGTAGGCGCTGAAACTGCTGCAAAATGCGTCGACTCTTCGCCTGCTCGAGACGGCGGCACTCTTTAATCACGGCGTCGATGGTCGTTACGTTGGTAAATAGAAGCAGGCTGAACGCATCGTCGGCGATTCCTTTTAAAACGTGCGAAATCTTGTCGGCCTCAGTCATGTTGGGATCGGCCCTTTGACACAACGCTAAGACGTCTTGAATATAAGTCAAGTAGGGCTCAGTGGACGTCTGTGTACGTACAGCCAATTGCTTTCGGGCATCAAGCTGTTGACCTAACGGGTTGCCAAAAAGGTCGCGGAGCTGTTGTTTAAACATTTCCCAGCTTGTGATTTCGTGCTCGTGGGTCTCAAACCAGATGCGAGGGGTCTTGTCAAGATAGAAAATGACATTCGCAAGCATAACGGTTGGGTCCCAGCCATATTGCTTGCTGACGCGCTCGTACATGCTAAGCCACTTGTCCACATTCGCGTTGTCCTCTCCAGTAAAGGTACCGGGATCACGGGGTTGCGTTAGGGCGACGTACCGGGTTGCTGTCGTTGCTGAGGTAGGTGGCGAAGCCGTATCCTCACCCGGAGCCATGGTAGCAGACTTAAGGAGGCATCCACTGCGTAGCTCCGTTGTCAGAAGAGTACCCAGCACCTCCACCAAAATGTTACGTGGAAAATAACTGTTGTCAGTCCGCAGCCACAACGCAGCTCACCGACAACGTCCACTTCTTCACTCTCAGTCTGAGGCACCTTACTTGGGTATGCCCCACTATGCCCTCTTTCAGTCAGACGAAATCATGTAACAATATGAACAACGAATACTTTGTTTCCACTTTTTGCATTTAATAATTTCTTATACAAGTTTCTATCGAAAGTAGTCTGAGATGACAACATAGATGCAATTTTCAATGTGGGTTAGCTGGTTGTAGGAGCGATTTTCATTGCTCATACATTTCTCATACCAGCATGAGAGCCCTCTAGTCACATGAAATGTCGCTGGAAGTGATGATTGCTTCATAGTGCAGCCTCTTGGTTGCCTCGTTGCAGATGAGTGATTCGGAGGATCTGGACAATGACATTGATGAGCTGATCCAGGACTTTGAGGCCAAAGCGCAGAGACCCATCCTGCACACTGTCCAGTTCTACTGATGACATTGCAGCAGGAGGACATGTAAAGCAACAGCATGAAGAAGCTGTCGTCTACTTCAACTGGCAGTCTTTGTGTGATACCGTGATAAGCATGCAAAACTGTAAAACAGTCAACAGCTCTATTTTTGTCATAGGTTTTCTGTTGATCAGGTATGCATTGCATACTGCGACTAAGAAGGAAGAGGTGGTCTTTTGTGACAAACATTTGTGCTTCAAATTTATATTCTGCTGCATGCTGTCAAAGAGTTCTTGCATGCCTTTTGGTAATGTAGGTATGTTTAAACAATGCATAATTTTGGAGGTGCACAATTGTGGCATATGTTACAAAATATTTCTTATATGAGATCTTGAAGAACTTTCAGCAGACAGTAACTATCAGAAAAGCACTGTTTTATGACGTGCACAATCTCATTTTAAAATCTTGTTCACTCTGAACAAAGTCTTGCAGGTCAGAATTGGCCAATGTGTCTTCTGTGCCCTCTGCTTTCTTCCCCATCTCCCCTAACTGCATGAAAGACAATGTGTGCGTTGTTCGCATGCCAGTTCCCTTCTATCAACATTTACTACCGGAAACAAAGAGCCCCATAAATCATGGTGATAAGCCCCTGTAAATGTAAATTTGAGAATAAAAATATTACGACTCCATTGGGAGGTATCTGCTTTCTCATAAAATACTTTTGACATGTTGATTAGCTGTCTATCCATGTTAAAAATAGACCGTATATTTTGTTCTGTGTGTGTTCCAACCAAAGGCATGTACAGGGGTGGTCTAAAGTTCCCAGGCCGCAACACCCAGCCAAGGAACCATAGCTCGTTACTATCGGCCGCTACCATCGTAATCACGCCTTGGCGTGCGCTAGCGTCAAGCATGTGCGTCCCTGTTTTGCCCTCATTGATAGGAAAGCCACGATTAAAAGAGGTGCGTCATGTTCCCTCACTGTTCGCTCTTCACAATTTCACTGCTATGCAGGGCGATAGCATTCCGGTGGAAGTGTTCCGGAAAACTGGCCTATCGTGCTTGTGGCCACCGTATACATTGCTGTAGTTTTTGAATTCCTGGAGAACAGTAAATATGATATGCGTTTAACTTTCCATTGGCACTGCAATAGCTTTCTCAACACCCCCCACCTGCCATCTGCAAAGGGTGACACTAACAATGAAGCCTAACATTCCTACTGCATCCTGGTCCCATACATTCAGGAAATCTGTGAGCCTTGGGTGCTGAGGAAAGAGAGCGTCAAAGGGGAGACTAAGATTTAGTGCAACAAAACGTAAATTGATGGTATTCAATGATCATGAAGACCAGGTGGTCTCAATACAGGGCCAAGAAATGCCGAGGGTAAGTGAGTACAAGTACCTCGAAGTATAAATAAATGAGGAAGATAGATATATGGAGGTAAAGGAAGAAACATCGGCATTAAAGGGAAAGAAGAATGCTGCAATAATAAAGCACAGAGCGTTATGGGGATACAATGGGTATGAAGTGCTTTGAGGTATCGGGAAAAGCACAATGGTTCTGTGTCATATATTTGGGAACTCGGTGTAGTCCATGAAGTCCGAGGTGCAATGAGGAATATATTTAAAGCAAAGGATTGTAAGACTCTGCGTTAGCCACTCAAGGGAAGACGACAGATGAGGCTATAGACAGTTTCGTTGTTTGTAAACAAACTGGTTCACGCCGAACGGCCTACCCCAGCAGACTTCCTGTGCGGCACTTCCGGCAATGCTTTTTCAATGATCCCGGCGGTGTTTTCGTGGTGTGTTTGAGTTTGATGCTATATTATTACTGGCGCATTTCTTATGATGTGTTTGGAGCAACGTCTAGGGGCTACATGAAGTAGCTCGATGTAGCACACGGCAGGTACAGGTGTAGCCACTGCTGCAGGTGACACGGCTGGCGTGACCGATAGGTGCCGCACAAAGTATGCGTCGTGGCGTTCCGATGAGCCCAGCCCCCTGATCCGTGTTACATCTGACAGAGGTCGCACCTATACAAACAGAAAATGCATAAATTGCAGGAGAAGTTTGTCAGCGTACTTAATTGGGCCAGTTGGTTCTGCATGTCGACGATGTGGATGCGTTTTGAAGATGCGAACCGGGAATTGACAGTGCACACGTACCTGTCTTTCTTGTCCGCGTCTTCAAAGTGCTCCCATATCGTCGACATGTTGGAGAAGAGTTGCTTGATTCATGGTGAACTTGTTCAATTCAGCTTTTCGACTATAACTGAAAACCTTCTTCCTGTTGAACCCCGAACATATTTGTGTTTTTGTCTAAGCATACAACCTCAGGGTAAATAGCTTAGTATTTCTGCGCCTGTGTCACACCGGGCGATTTTTAGAGAGATCAGCGGCAATCAGAATCGCTCGCGATCCGAAGTGTTTGTGTGACTTAAAATTATAAAATGTACTGATGTGTTGACATCAACTGTGGCTGCAGGCTCAGGCAAGCTATTATGGTTTACTCAAGAGTAATTAAGCTATATTCATGAATCAAACTTTCAAGTTGAACCCACCTAAACCTACAGTACATGTCCACACCTAAAATATAAATTAGCTATAGAATGCGGCGATGTTCATTAGCAGCAGAAAAACAGGCGATGAGCCATTTCTACACAGATAAGATCCCAATCTCCGGTGTCGCTTTCAAAAAAAAAAAATCAAATGCAACGACAACGAAACATATGGACATCACGACGTACACTGCGCTTCGATTCATGTTAAGCGCGGCTATATACTTTGTGTCTCGTGTTGTTTCGAACAGCATACATAATTAATATCGCTTAAACTATAAATAAAACACCTTCGCGATGGATTTTCGGTGTTAGCTTTCACGTTTTCCTACCCATTTCAGACGTCAGTACACTTATCTGCCAAGGGTGGAAGACGACCCTGACTGATGTGTTCCCGGCGACCGGCAGTTTTCAACTAGTCTTAACGTCCGAGTATCGCCTCTGTGCCATTAGTCTGCGCTAAGCTTTACATTGCCTTTGATGAAGTAAGCAGAAAAAATCTACGCGCTCTTAGTGAGAATCACGGGTGGGAATCCAGTTTTCTCGCGTGATCGCTGCATAGCAAAAGCTCTTTCTATTGTCATCGGTCGGAAAACAGAACGTTTTGAATAAACTATAAAAGTAATTCAGACACGTAGACTGCATCCTGGCTTGACACAGCTGTGCTCGAGTTGCCAGCGCTTCGTCGGGATAATTTTACTCGCATAAAACATCAGAACACAAGTAGCCGCGGCTAGCAACACACGCTAGAACCGCGCAAAAACAAGGTAAACTAGCTAAACTGGATGTTTTCAGGGGTGTTTTCTGGTGAACGCACAATGTTGCCAGAGACCAGCAGGCTCTGGCAACACTGTCTATTAAGCGCGATATGGGATGGACACACTTTGAAGCAAGGAAAGCTCCGAGCAAAATGGGATTTGAAGAGAGGCTTCGGAAAATGGAGAGTAGATGAGCAGGGCAAATGTTTATGAAGGGAAAGCTACGGGGGCGGAGGTACTGCTCCGGTACTCCGGTACTCCTACGCGGAATAGTCCGGTTCGGCTTACGTTTCAAATGACGGTCGTGTTCAAGCAATCCCACTGCACACAATTTAACACGTCTGCTTACACCGCCATTTGTTAGTGAAATTCAATACAAGCTCTTTCGGTGAGTCGTCGGAATAGCTGGAGGGTGATGCCCGTTATATACAAAAACGTCATTCTGACTTTGAGGTGCACGTAAAACGTGTGACTTTTTCAGACACGCAGAAACGTAAAATGTCTCTACAGAAAGCAACAACAAATATGAATATCCCCTCGGTGTGTGCAGCGTCTCTGTATAAACAGCATCCAGCAGCAAATAATGTCATTTTTTATTTTCACGCGGTAAAAGTCGGTGCATTTGTGGCACTATATTCTATAGCGGTGACGCACACCCACGTTGGCCTCGTAGCCTTCCCTCCATTACCCCAGAAAGTTGTCCCTGCTTCACTGAGGTGGACTGTTGTTAATAATAATAATAATAATAATAATAATAATAAATATAATATCTAGGTTATTATGTCCCGAAACCACGACATATTTATGAGCCACACCGAAGTAGAGGCCAGGCTTGGGATATGCTCAACTATCTCAAGTCCTTTAACGTGCAGTGACATCGCGGAGTACACGGGCTTCAACTGCTGCGGCCGTCTTCTTTCGTGTGTTTGTCGTATTCCTTGCGCTATTGTGTGTTACGCAATTGTGGACCACTAATCCAGCTACAGTGATGCAGCCTATTCATGAGAGCGTGGCAAAGCACTGATCAGAAACAGGTGAAACTACCAGCGTAAATAGGTCACTGTAGCTGAAGGGAGCTTTGGGAGAACCAGCTATGTCACTAGATGTGTGTGCTGTGGTCATTCTTTGAAAGGGTCCACGCGATAAATACACTAAAGGGAACTCTGGCGCTAGTGTATGGAAGTTGCAACGTACGGCGCTTCGGCGAACATAAGAATGATGGGTACCAGGTTATGCTGGCTCGAATGGGAAGGGGTGAAAAGCGAGCCGTGTTTCCCTTACCGCCGCCTTGCACAATCTCTCCGCCAGGCCAAAATATGTTGTGACAGTCGGAGGCACTGCCCACTGACATGGGGGAGACGCGGTAGCATAGGCCACTGCGATGGAAGCTTGTCAGCTTCATCAGCATTCCACACAGTTTTACGAGTACTTTGTGTTTGTGTGCATCTACGAAATCGGCATCTACGAAATTGCATCTACGAAATGGCATCTACGAAATTGAGAAAACTCTGAGACCGTGCTCCATACAGGCGCTGTGGTTCTGAGTACGGAACATGCAAGCCAAAGTTGCGACTTTTTCGTGCACCGACATGCTGACAGATTTGCAGTTTGGAATCTTGAAATAGTTTTAAATGTAACGGCTGGGATAAAGCTACACAGGAAAATTCGGCCATCCAAGAAAAAGAAACATTTTGGTTCTAGTTAAATGTAGAGGACCCGAGCAAGTACTGCCAGTTTTTACTCGTATATATGACAAACATGAGCAGTTAAATTAGTCAATGCTTTAAAGAGTTCTCAAAAGCTGAACAATTGCTTTAGTAAGTGCGTTTATATGAACATTGTTTTCTTTTTCGGTTTCACTACATTATATTTTTATCGAGTATCTATAGCAACGCAGCAATGCTCACTTTGTGCATTGTATGCACTAAGAACAAAAATGCTTGCACCGTGCCTATATGAAGCATTGCAACATAGCGGCAAAGCTAGATAACTAGAAAAGTGGATATTTAAGGGCTGCTGTGCCCTATGGAGTGACTCTACAGTTTTAAGCAGCTAATGTAAAGCAGGCTGACACAGGTTTTTCACATATTTTACTTGCATTCGAAGATAGTAGCGAGCTTTTTGTGGTTCTATAAGCAGCGTGTTGTAGAAACTGGCTGCGTCAAACATAAGCAATTGGCAAAATCTGCGGTCAAATTCATTTACATTGCAATGGAGTGATCACTTTCCTTGAGGGAATTTTACACAGGCAAAAGGGAAACGACCCTCCACCAGTGTACTTTATCATAACATGACGATAATTAAATTTGGTTGCCATGAAACTCATAGCTGTATCGATTCTTATACAAATGTGACATGCTGGTCCGTGACAGCGCA